CATAATCGGGGTCACGTGCCTCGCTGGACACTGTTACCTCATCACAAAAGACGGCTGGCGACCAACTTGCCTGACCAGAATCATTTGCACTACTGCGTCTGGGATGCGCTGTCGGTGGAAGTGTGACGGTCTCACAACCAGAAACTCCTAAGTCCGGACGAGATGGAGGATGTCATCATGACCGTGTGAGGAGAGATGTGACCCGTCACCGTAAGAACGAACATCCACCAGGATGTCATCATGACCGTGTGAGGAGAGATGTGACCCGTCACCGTAAGAAGGAGAGATGTGACCCGTCACCGTAAGGACGAACATCCACCAGGATGTCATCATGACCGTGTGAGGAGAGATGTGACCCGTCACCGTAAGAAGGAGAGATGTGACCCGTCACCGTAAGAACGAACATCCACCAGTGAAAGCAGAAGCTGAACGCAATGGCTAAGACTGGTGATGGCGTAATCCCTCACGTGTTCCAATAAGGGGTTCAACAATACGATTTTCGGGAAAACTTTACCTCTAACCTGGTATAATGGGGCCGGATTTCAACCTAGGAGTTCCAAACTTAATATCAATCGTGAGATTTTAAGAGACCAATCCACTGGTGTTTTAAGACAAATCCACTGGTGTTTTTTACTAAGCTCTATCTTTCTTAGGTTGGAAACTGCAGAGGACTGCGTCGACCCCACGTCAGTCCGCGTTATGAAACGCGGCGAATCAGGGCGAGGGTTATCGGTGCGATGCCAGTTTTCAACTGCAAATGAAGTGAAAGACATCGACTTTGAATTGGACTATTCACCAAAAATATACAACAAACTTCATCTTCCTACCTGATCTCAATAAAACACAGGCTGCGCCTTTGAAAATTGTTTGCATGAGCTAATGGGCTAACAAGACAAAGTTGTTGCAAATGCTGAGCATTTCAAACCCTTGAAGTCTCTTCGGTAGGTTATATTTTACGCAAGCAGACATAGCATATATTTGTGGGAACGTGGATATTTTTTACGACACTATCGCTAGAACTGGGTATTTTTACTATGTCTACCTCAGCAAAGATGAATGCTTCACGATAGTCATGGTGCCAAAATTAGGATTCAAGAAATATTCAGGCTCTTATATGGCGTTTGCTGCTCTTAAGTGGATGCGTCCATCAACACGGAATATGTAGCACAATACGGTTTTGCAAATAAACAACATTTTCCTCCTACCATTTCTTATGTTTCCCACACGACCAACACAGTGCCATTTGTGATGATGCAAGGTGCAAGGAGACCAAAACTATATTTGAACAAAAATGCTGTCAAATGCCACTTAAGCGATTTATCGCCTTTATCAATGACACAAAACCTCCAGTGCCTCTAGAGGAAATACGCCTCTAGTACCCTATCCTTCAATCCGAAGATGCCAGAGATCTCTGGCATCTTCGGATTGAAGAGGAAAGAGAGACGGTGGTAGTGTCATTTCACAGCTGTAAGGCCAATGGGATTTTTCAGGTCATTATGGAATTGGAGGGTCACGGCCAATATAATACCAGACCAAACTACTTTTTTGGTACTGTAATCTTACTTCCTCCAAATGACGCCCGTCTTATCTGCACTCGGAATAATCCGTCTGGTATGCTGCAAGGACTGCACATATGCAATCGTTATCATCCAAGGGCGTGGATGAGCCGACGCCACAGGTCAACTTGGTCATCGATAACATTTTTGGTTTCCTTTGGACGAGGATTGTCTTTGTCAACCAGCGACGCTTTTTTAATGGCAGCAGGCGTGGATGGTGGCACAACTGACTTGAACAAATCCTCAATTTCTGTTTCAATTTAGATCAGTGACCTATGTTAACCATGTTTGGTGCTGCATAAATGTAGCAAAATATGCTGATCAAAAGAGTACAATGGGTTAAAAGTACCAACAACAAATACAGCTACCGTAAAACATGTCTCAAGGTCACTAAAGGTCAATGAGGTCACTATGTGTACATGATCCTTAGTATTATTATAAATTTGAGGTGCGTAAGTGGTATTATATAATGAAGGAAAAATGGAAAGAACACACTCTCAATGGTGTGTGAGAGAGAGAGAGAGAGAGAGAGAGAGAGAGAGAGAGAGAGAGAGAGAGAGAGAGAGAGAGAGAGAGAGAGAGAGAGAGAGAGAGAGAGAGAGAGAGAGAGAGAGAGAGAGAGAGAGAGAGAGAGAGAGAGAGAGAGAGAGAGAGAGAGAGAGAGAGAGAGAGAGAGAGAGAGAGAGAGAGAGAGAGAGAGAGAGAGAGAGAGAGAGAGAGAGAGAGAGAGAGAGAGAGAGAGAGAGAGAGAGAGAGAGAGAGAGAGAGGAGAGAGAGAGAGAGAGAGAGAGAGAGAGAGAGAGAGAGAGAGAGAGAGAGAGAGAGAGAGAGAGAGAGAGAGAGAGAGAGAGAGAGAGAGAGAGAGAGAGAGAGAGAGAGAGAGAGAGAGAGAGAGAGAGAGAGAGAGAGAGAGAGAGAGAGAGAGAGAGAGAGAGAGAGAGAGAGAGAGAGAGAGAGAGAGAGAGAGGAGAGAGAGAGAGAGAGAGAGAGAGAGAGAGAGGAGAGAGAGGAGAGAGAGAGAGAGAGAGAGAGAGAGAGAGAGAAGAGAGAGAGAGAGAGAGAGAGAGAGAGAGAGAGAGAGAGAGAGAGAGAGAGAGAGAGAGAGAGAGAGAGAGAGAGAGAGAGAGAGAGAGAGAGAGAGAGAGGAGAGAGAGAGAGAGAGAGAGAGAGAGAGAGAGAGAGAGAGAGAGAGAGAGAGAGAGAGAGAGAGAGAGAGAGAGAGAGAGAGAGAGAGAGAGAGAGGAGAGAGAGAGAGAGAGAGAGAGAGAGAGAGAGAGAGAGGAGAGAGAGAGAGAGAGAGAGAGAGAGAGAGAGAGAGAGAGAGAGAGAGAGAGAGAGAGAGAGAGAGAGAGAGGAGAGAGAGAGAGAGAGAGAGAGAGAGAGAGAGAGAGAGGAGAGAGAGAGAGAGAGAGAGAGAGAGAGAGAGAGAGAGGAGATAGAGAGGGAGAGAGGAGAGAGGAGAGAAGAGAGAGAGAGAGAGAGAGAGAGAGAGGAGAGAGAGAGAGAGGAGAGAGAGAGAGAAGGAGAGGAAGAGAGAAGAGATGAGAGAGAGAGAGAGAGAGTAGAGAGAGAGAGAGAGAGCGAGAGAAGAAGAGAAGAGAGAGAGAGAGAGAGAGAGTGAGAGAGAGAGAGAGAGAGAGGAGAGAGAGAGAGAGAGAGAGAGAGATGTATATATATACATAAATACAAGCATCCATGTTCAATTAGGTCAATGGCCTTTGATGATCTCTGAGGTTAAAATGCCAATCGCAGGAGGAAAGGCGATTCTGTTGGACAACAGGTCAATGCAATCCACAAATTGCGTCACTCGAGTGAACGTTACAAGAAGCCAGCGCTTTCGCTCGAGTTGGACCAGTGGCCTATGTTGACCAAAGCACATCATTGGAAGATTAAGGAGTGGAATCGTTAGGTAAACAACTTTTGGAGATCACACTACAACGCACTGGCGGAATAACCAAAGGTAATCCACGTTTTGGTCATACGGACTTACGCAAAAATTGCCTTAAGTCATGGTGAATGCACTTAACAGGGTGAAATGCACTTAAGATAGAGCATAAAATGACGTTCGAAAAAGAGCTGAAATTCCAGGAGACTACAGCAAGCCGTTTCTAGCTATTGCCAAAAAGCTCGTGGTGGGGTAGACACCTCACTTCTCCGCGTCAGTGCGACGCTTAAACCAGCCTGTTATGAATGTGACCAAGCTTTGTTCCCAAAAGATCTGCCACATGAAGACGGCTTGAAGTAACTGAGGCGTCTTTCCGCAATATGTCCGTGCAATAATATATCACGCTCGGGATGGCAAGTACAAGCGATAGCTGGTGGCTCCATGGATAGGAACATACCGGCCACGAGCCCCAAAGGTTAACAATGGGAGCATTATACCTTTTGGTCTCATACAACTTTCTTAAAATGTAATGAAGTTATACTTTTGTGTTAACCTGAAACCGCTGACCCGTATGAACGTCTTAAGGCCTTTTCTACCTGGGAATTTTGATATTTGTGTGGAGCTGTTTTTTGTTCAGCTTTTCCCGGTCTGGGAAACAATAATTCCCAGCTGCTTTTCCTGCTGCCTTCCCCCAAAAATCGGTGAAGCCATCAGTGCAACTGCAGCTTTACGGTGGATTGCTTTACTTGCATCAACTTAGTGCTAGGTAAAATGCGGCAAAATGCCATGGCTAGAACTGAAACCCCAGACACACCCAACACCCGTTTGCTTTTCCAAACAATATTTTGAAGTGTTCTCAAATTTCCATATTTCTAAAGCAAAACAAGTGACCGAAATCCGAGGTAATAACATAAGAAAGGCCCTGTTTTTTGCTTGTGCGATTTCTCCCCCCCCCTTAAACTGAGCGGAATGGACCCCCCCAGTGCAAGACAAGCGTGACTGTCGGGAATAGTGCCTTGTGGAGTTCTTATAAACCATAAGTTGATCTGAGCAGCAGCTCTATTAAAGCACTCACGGCTTGAAGTGGATATTTTACCCCAGCCGAAGCGAGCCTAACGTACGAACTGGAACAGACGTTGGTTCATTCAGGAAACTTGGCAAATTTCAGTCTCAACAACTCCGCTCATGATGACTGTCATCACTGACCAATTGTCAGCTGCCAAAACGCGCTACAACAGGCATAAGAAACCGTAGCTGAACGTGACGAACATTAGGAGCAGAAGACAGTTTAAACGTAATATGCAGGTAAATGTATGAAAAAAGAAATACAACGTGAATTCAATAATCACGAAAGGAGCAGAACAAAACCCTTATCCTCTGCATCACAAATTGCAAGGGAAGGCCCTAGTGAAAAAGACTGGCGCTGTGTGGAACCACAGCAACCAGGCCGCAGCAGCACACGGGCAGGTCGCACAGGATAACAGGCGCGGCTGGCGCGTGGCGCGCTAGTGCTCGCGTCCTCGCGATCATTCTGCGTGCCGGAGTCTCGCAGCACTCACCATCGCTCTGCGTGCCGGAGTCAATCCGCTGCTGTGACGACAGGCTGATGTTGGTGCGCACCTGGCTGCACTGGCTGTACTTCTGCGACATCATCGACTGGCGCACGTTGCGTTCCGGGTGCAGCAGGATGATGTACAGCTTGGGAGTGAAAAGGCACGCGATGGCGATGCTGGCGCTCAGGCTGATGGACACGGACATGGTGGTGATGCGTAGGGCCACGTGGTTGGCCGTCGAGAAGTAGATGGGCACAAAGGCCAGCCAGATGACGCACGTTGTGTACATGGTGAAGCCGATGTACTTGCTCTCGTTGAACGCCTCGGGGATCTTGCGCGTCAGCACGGCGTACACGGTGCATACGACGATCAGCAGGATCGGGTAGGCGAAACCGACCATGTAGGAGGCGTTGATGGACGCCTTGCACACCAGGAGGTTGTCCTCGGGTGTCGGGTGATAGTACATCGCGGCCGGTGGCGTCGTCCACATCCAGGCAAAGGACACTATCAACTGCAAAGGGACACACTGTGTCACTCCGTCAGAGCATGACTACCTTCCTATCAACAACTACATTGTTTACCCTGCCACTAGGCGATAGAAATGATAAAACGGGCTCTAAGAATAGCCAAGAGGCAATTTTCTGAACTGGTGTTCTGTACCTGGCCAGATCTTACAAACAGACATGCGCTATCCTTCACCACGAGTAGCATTCCTTAGCAGCAAGTCTTCACGGAAGTCATCTCACGAACAAAGCTCTGCCCACATACCAAGGCTATGTCGCACCTGACGCAAACAAAATTTGTTAGAGACGCGAGCAAATACTTCCAGACCAGAGTGAACGCCCCAGCTTTTACCGACATACGTTCGTAACAGTTGTGAGAGTGCAAGGTCCAACGCTGCGCTGACATAAGTAGATAAAACGTAGGACTTGCTTATTAAATTCAGCCATTTCATTCCATGAAATTTGCAACCACGATTTCTCGATGCCATCGTGATTTTGTATCTTATTTAAACAGCCGACTAAGTGACCCGGAATGTACTGCTGGGATATTTGTCAGCCGTGATTAGTTAGATGATGACGTTTAGCCCCAGATCACCTGGGGGTCAACAGTGGCCCTTGGCGGATTTCGGAAATGATTTTCAAATCGGGCCAGGTACGACTGCTTAATGTCCAGTGCCCGACAGATGAACAATTTGACACATTCTCGAGCACACCCTTTGTCCCTTCTTAGTCAGGTCAGAGCGCTAGGGCTTCTTAAATGAAAGTTAGCATGGTGAGTTTTGCCGCTACAGGTAGCAATGTGATGTTTTCTTTCTACTTTCTGATCGTTTTGACGAAACCCACCAACTGATTGAGATCGTTTACTAGTCGCAGTCACTCAACCTATGCAATATTACACTACACAACCGAAAAAAGTCGTAAAAGGTCTTATAAACATTTCCAAATCACTCATGCCATGTCATATAAAGGCGGAAAAAGCAGAACAAATAACGTCCCATTTCCTTAACTAGCTTTAAACTTACCTAACCTGGACTGAAACTGACAGACTCCTAAACACCTAAATACAATCTAGAAGGACACAAACAAGATGCTGTTTTCTTTGGAGCCGTCTGAAAGACTGTGAGAGGAATATTTTGAATGCCAGAGGTTTCAAAACCCTCACCAGATGCCATGATTGTTGGTACTTAGAATGTCCTGTTGCCTATCAGTCACGCAAAGAAGGCATGCTCAGCAATGTCAGAGCGGGATTGACCAGGATCATAGATTGCCGTTCGATCTCGTCCGATCCGACTGTTAGGGCCTGATACCTCAGGAGTTATCTAAAAAAAAAAACAGGGTCGCGAGTGGCCAGACACCCTGGCGTTGCCAGCACCATCGCACCAATGTGACTGAATCAAACCGTGGAAGTTTTCCTCCATTGTGCATCCAAGCACACTCAGAATCACTGATCAGTGGGTCTTGAAAACATTACAGGACATGTGAAAAGCCCACGTCGTTTTTATAAACATCTAAATCACGTATGAGTACAAACCATCGCGATAGCGCAACTAGATGAAGCTGAAGTAGGTAAATCGGAATTTAAAACGGGTAAATGTTGATGTCAGATGGCTAATAACTTGCATGTGTAGAACACGCAATCTCAGATCAGATAGTTCGAAAGATCCGGAAGCGTTTGTCTCCAACTATACTGCATCCTGCATTATCTCAAGTTCTTGCCATAATTATCTGCACTGCATAACGATGAAATACATGAATAATGCCACCGGCCTAGCTTGACTTCGGAGGTCACAAAGTGACCCTCGGAGAAAACAAGTACAGATGGACAGCTCCAAGGATAATAGTCACATCGGTGTTTTCCTTGTCCCGCCATCTTGGCAAGTATGGCAGCTGCCGGTAACTGATGGTACTACTACATCGTGTACTTTGTTGTACAATTCAGCTGTGATGATGTTATGATGGCCTGAGAGGTCACCCAGGTGATTCAGACCTAAGCTTAACCAACCCAGATATTTTTTAGAACCAGAAGACAGCAAAGAGCGCGCCTATGCTAACAGGTTTTACTTGAACTCAACGACTTCTATTCAAAGGGAATGTGTCACATTAAAAAATGTTGGAACCTCCGATTTGATGGAATAGCTCTCTTATAACTATTGGCATATTCTAAGTAGAAGAATTGTTGTGGACAATGACGTTACTGCGTCGTGGGTCGCTGTCACCCTGGTACTCAGACAGAGCACTTCCCAAGAACTGACCGTGGCTCTGCTGGAGGTGTTCACTGAGCCAAATATCGTCATGTGCTGGGCCTTTGGCCCTTTCTCGCGGTGTTCTTGCATATTTACCCGTGAGTTTAAGGCATTTTCTTGCATCGACGTACTCAATTGTTGCACTTTTCTCAAGTTATTCGGTGACAATTCTCATTTTCGTAACAACTGGGAGCCATGTCCAACTTCTTGTATTATTCAGCCAAAACGTGAGTCGTGGTTGCAACTTGCGGAGACTGCATAGCAGTGACTGAGCGGCAATGAGTGTCCGTTAAACTTGGAAGCTTTGCTGACTAACACCAAATATGAAGGGCTCGACGATTATCTTCTTTTTGGCCTTGAACGACGCACGGCCAATGGGGTGGTTGCATTTGAACGGCATTTTCACAGCGTCGTACGTGCTTTAATGACCTTGAGATAGCCTGCGCGAAAAAGTCTGGATATCTCCGCGGGCGATTAGCTCAGAAACTAGAGGGTTTTAGGCTTTAAGAACAGCACGGCTGTGAACTCCGCCGAATGATCTTCAAGATGGCTTTTCAGTTCAAATCCCTAGATAAATAAAAGTGACTCCCTTTAAACAAAGAATTCTAGGCGGCGCGCCACTATAAACTAGATGAGGACGAGCACTGAACAACTCCTCTCAGCGAGTACAGCCAGTGTAAAGATGACTCTCACCTGGACCAGGATGAGCAGTGAGCAAATAACCAGCTGTGAGGCCGGAGTGATGAAGTGCGGTCGCGCCGCCGACTTCTTTCCTGCGTTGAAGATGCGCGCGATCCTATTGGTCTTGGTTAGCAGCGCGCTGTACACCACACTGAAGCAGAAGCCGATGCCGAACTGCTGCAGGCCGCACACTACGTCGCTAGGCCGCAGCACCAGCACGAACGTCATGGCGTAGCACAGCAGGATGCCATACAGCAGGACGAAGCTGAGCTCGCGGCCGGAGGCGCGCACCACGGGTGTGTCCACGTGCCGGATGAAGGCAGCTATCACCAGGCAGGTGAGCACGATGCCGGCCGCCGAGAACGACATGGCACCGATGGCCCAGGACGAGTCGGCGCGCAGGTACGCCTCGGGCAGCGGCTCGCAGCGCATGTGCGTCACGTCCGGCAATGTGCCCAGCCGGCAGGTCACGCACTCGGTGTCGTCGCCCGGGTCCACCACCTGCCGGCGCAGGGTCGGGATCAGGCTGGCGGCCAAGGGCGGAGTAATACGGTGAAGGGTCTTCACACACACACAGCGAGTGGTGATGCGCGGCAGACGGGTTTGGCGAGAGTCTGCTATTTTCCATACCACTAGCAATCCGGGGTTTATAGTTACGAATTCCCGAGACTAATCTTACACACCACGCCGCAATGTCCCGTCGGGACACCAACCGGGGAGACCTGGGTTCCCCCTGCAGCAGTGAAGAGGCCCATCTTCCTGTTCGCAGCCAGGTTTGCACAGCTCCTGATGCAGCCTTGGGTGTCAGCCTGACACACCGGCTGGTCCACCGGGCAAACATATTGTAGCAATATAGTAGTCCTAAAATGTGTAAATTCGTACTGTGCTGCGTTGTTTCTGCACTTGCCTTGCATGAATTCCGTTTGCATTTGCTCTGTTAACATGGGGGCAAAATTCTGGCTATGTCTGTATAAATACATGCGTACACACACACGCATGCAAACGCACGCACACACACGCACACACACACACACACACACACACACACACACACACACACACACACACAACACACACAAATATATATATATATACATATATATATATATATATATATATATATATATATATATATACACATATACATATGTCATTCGGCTTAGTCCAGTTGGTATGACACTGACATTCTGCAATGAGACGTTTCAATCACATATCAACCTGTAACAGAATGGACAAACAGTTCTTCCCACTTCTTGCAGCAAGTAATCGGCATATATACTCTTCTATCTCCCTTTCTCTCTCTCTCTCTCTCTCTCTCTCTCCTCTCTCTCTCTCTCTCTCTCTCTCTCTCATCTCTCTCTCTCTCTCTCTCTCTCTCTCTCTCTCTCTCTCTCTCTATCTTCTCTCTCTCTCTCTCTCTCTCTCTCTCTCTCTCTCTCTCTCTCTCCTCTCTCTCTCTCTCTCTCTCTCTCTCTCTCTCTCTTCCTCTTTCTCCCTCCATCCATCTCTCTGCCCTTGTCATATGAATAATTCGGGTAGTTTTGAAGATGTTTTGCAGGAAAGCATTTGTGAACCAATTTAAGCTACCACCAACCGCTTTAAGGCGAAAATACTTGCCTCACTTAAGGCGGGGCACCCGAGCGATTATTAGCCACGTGCAGCTATTAACAAAGCCGCGGCAGAGGCAGTGTTTCTTTGTACTTCAGATTGCGACAGCACATTTGGTAGATTTCTAGCATTATACCACCATTCTTGTTAGATGGCGTCGATTCTGTAGTCTAGATCCCAGATAGTGTCGTTCTACCCGATATCTTTTACCCTGCTCTTTAAATGACTTTCTCATGCAACGCGTGTTAACATCACTTGCGATCGTGAACGTTCAGAACAGCTGATGTACTGTTTTTTTTCTTCTGACGGCGCCTACTCCTGATGGGCTTTAAAAACACATGCATCAGCGCCATCCGGCGGCGGCTGTGGCACAGGTGGTCAGCCGGTGCACCTGTCCAGCTTCACAGCGAGCGCAGAGCTGGTCGCCGCCGATCATCAACTCCGCTGAAAGCCGAGGCTGATGAGCCGCGGCGGGACGGGACGCCACGGCTCATCCCATCAGGCGCCGGTACCAGCCCTGAACAGGGTGTCATCTGTCTCTGGCTGGTGGCCATCTCTTGCGGCGGCCTGACGCATGCCAGGCCGGCCGCGTCACAGCCGGGGCCGACGGCGGGCTCGCTCCGGGCGCTCCGTGTATCGATCAGTCGCTGAAGGCGCACAGCTCACCTCCCATCTATCGACATCACGGGTAATTGCCCTTGTCCGCCTGGCGCGTGAGATACCGAACTCGCTGAGCACCGGAGCCGACCGATCAGCCGCCTGTGGCTGACGCTGAACTGTCGGCAGTTACCGGCTGCAGTTCCATGTTGCTATCAGCATGTTTAGCCAGTGAGTCGTTATATGAAATTATCAGCTGACCATTCAACCCGAATCGCAACGCTGATTCGCAATCGCAACACAACGCAATACCACATGATGACCTGCCTTGCCAATACGCATGTTCTTAGACCTTAATAAAACACAACAGCCTTGCATACTCAACAGAGAGGAAGGACGAAACGTTGATCCCCACCATGCCACCAGAGCGATATTATCGTGTGACGCAGATCAGACGCGGTCAGACTCAGTCCAGACATGTGTCTGGTTTTCAAGGTGTCTTCCCGGTATCGTTTCCTGGTTCTTGGTTCCGAAACCAGGAAGAACCCAGGAACCAGTCTTTTATAATGGCGAGGCATTCAGCGAGAGCCAGAATCCAGTCTCATTGCAAACCGAGAAAGCACGGCGGTTGGCACCTGGAAGTCAACCAGCCACCACACCGGTGCCGGCAGCCGCGCACACAGTACGACATCCTCACTGCCAGCCAGCCACCACACCGGTGCCGCACCCGCGCACACAGTACGACATCCTCACGGCCAGCCAGCCACCACACCGGTGCCAGAAGCCGCGCACACAGTACGACATCCTCACGGCCAACCAGCCACCACACCGGTGCCGGCACCCGCGCACACAGTACGACATCCTCACTGCCAGCCAGCCACCACACCGGTGCCAGCAGCCGCGCACACAGTACGACATCCTCACGGCCAGCCAGCCACCACACCGGTGCCGGCAGCCGCGCACACAGTACGACATCACTGCCAGCCAGCCACCACCGGTGCCGGCAGCGCGCACACAGTACGACATCCTCACTGCCAGCACACCACCCCACCGGTGACAGCCGCGCACACAGTACGACATCCTCACGGCCAACCAGCCACCACACCGGTGCCGGCAGCCGCGCACACAGTACGACATCCTCACTGCCAGCCAGCCACCACACCGGTGCCGGCAGCCGCGCACACAGTACGACATCCTCACTGCCAGCCAGCCACCACACCGGTGCCGGCACCCGCGCACACAGTACGACATCCTCACTGCCAACCAGCCACCACACCGGTGCCGGCAGCCGCGCACACAGTACGACACTCACTGCCAGCCAGCACACCACGCGTGCCAGCAGCCGCGCACACAGTACGACATCCTCACTGCCAGCCAGCCACCACACCGGTGCCAGCAGCCGCGCACACAGTACGACATCCTCACGGCCAGCCAGCCACCACAGCGGTGCCGGCAGCCGCGCACACAGTACGACATCCTCACTGCCAGCCAGCCACCACAGCGGTGCCAGAAGCCGCGCACACAGTACGACATCCTCACTGCCAGCCAGCCACCACACCGGTGCCAGAAGCCGCGCACACAGTATGACACCTTCAACACCACGGGGGCATAGACTTTCAGCTTTGCCTGGCAAGGACGTGGTTTGCCGCCATGGCCGAACCAAGCGGCGCGGCAAGCCCGTGCTTGCGGTCATGACAGACAGGCGCAGATGTGTCACGCTGCGTGCCGGGGTAACACGTGACAGCTGACAGGGTAACACGTGACGTAACAGCTCGACAACGTGACCAGGCCCTAACACTGCTGCCATGGCAGTGCTAGGGTAAATAATGCGACCGACAGAACCGCGAGGGCATTCGTCCCAAGCGGCGTTATTTCTAACTAAAAACCTTTAGTTGTCACTTATACGCGACATACACTGCATGCACACACACTCGTCCAGGCCTATGCTCACAGGTGGAGCATCACACAAATTCTGGAGGCAACGTACATATAAGAGCAATAAGACATGCCAAATAAGGCTGGGATTACAATTTTTCATGCTGCAACATTCCTTACTCTACAATGACTCCGATCGCCTATTCTTATGACTTCCACAGATTTTCCTTACACACGATGAACACTAAATCGACAAGTCTATGCCATGTAATGAAGTACTAGCCTTTGATATCGGCAACACGAGCTTTTCGCAGCAGAATTATTCAGTGGATTTTCCCTTCCAACCGACATGTCATTCCTACACCCACGCTTGAAAACCACGCATTGCGCCATCTACGGCTGTTTTGGGGCAGCATACGACTTCATCCGAATTCGTTTCGTCTGCTATGCCGAAATCCCTACCGTCGTCGTAATTTGAGCTGGAGCTTAAGTGAAACATATTATATCCATGATATGGTATGATGGGTGGAGCGTGACGACCTAATGTGTTGCAGTCCCCATAATGCTGTTCTGCCAGGGCGTTGCCTCCTGGGACACTGTTTTATTCGGGATTAGAAAGTCATATGATTCAACCTAGCACTTTCATTCAGGAAAAGTTTCAGTTTCAGTAAACGAATTCCAGCGGTTATGGATATGCCCTTTAAGCTTACAAAACCGACAACTTGGCTCCTGATATAGCTATTGCCAATCACAGCCAAGTCTCACGATGGCACAGAAAGGCGGCATGCCCGACATGCCATGCAGCATGACAGGACACAGGGTATAAACCGTGGCATCATGCTGCACCGCGCCCGACACGGGACGGAGCAGCACAACACAGGACCGGGGAGAGGGGTCACAACAGAGAACTGTACGTGTATGGGGCAGGGGACAGGCCAGAAGGTGACACCGAAGGCAAAAAAAAACAGGAAGGTAACAGGATCGATAACAGACCAATGCATAATCACATTAGCCACGTTCGGAGTTATCATCGAGGACAGACCAAGGCGTAATCGCAGACTGGTCAGAAGACAAAATCGATGACCGAACGAGGCGCGCTCACAGAAAGATTAGGGGACATGATCGACAACAGCTCAATGCATAAGATGAACTCATAAGTCGGCGCACCCAAAAACACTAATAAACAGCAAAGGGAACAGACCAAAGACCTGCGTAGAACAGCACAGAGTTTGGATTAAGAACAAGGAGAACTGGAGACAAAATAAGGACAGAAGTCAGGCAAGGACTGTAAGGAAGGCCAGATCAAGATAGGACAGAGGTCTCTGCCCTCAGGTCTTCCCTCCATGCCCTTCCCATCCTCTGGTGAAGAAGATGGCAACACAGAGCAAGGCAGGGCAGCACAGCACATACCACAGGGCGAG